ATCTCTTACTGTGTTTTTTTTATGCCCTAGGCTATTAAAAGATTAACAGCGATTAAGAGATTTTGCTCTTTATAGATTGAAAACAAGGATGTTCTTATCTAGTCATATTCATTTTCTTTATTCAAATATGTTTTTTCATCTTTTGTTTTATATTAATAAGAGTTCAATCAGGAGACAATACAATTATTCTTATAAAAAAATAGTTGTAAAGCCCACTAGTTAGGGCTTCAATGACAATGGGTTCAAGCAATTTTTTCACATTAAACATTTTTTTTTTTTTAAACCTCTAAAGATTTATTTTGATATTTTCATCTTCTTGTTATGTGATAAAAAGAATTTAGTAATATTTTTGTTTTTACTAGCATGCTTATACTAAAACGAGAAATGAGTTTAACGCATAAATAATGAAGGCCGATGATAAAGTTAACCTTAAGTTTATGATACCATATCCGAAGTACATTCATAAAATATTGTTGGGAAAATTTTACACATAACATCACTAATCTGTGTTACAAGCTCTAAAATATTTATCAAGTTTTACATGTACACCTTTTTGGATTATCATAGTTTTTCAAGTTAGTCTTTGTGGAAACACAATCTTTAAAGATATTTATGTGTAAATATTAATGATAGTGTATAGAATTTTCCCCTTGGTAGAGATGGTGATATTCAATTTTAGAAGCTTGTGTAGTTACTAATCTCGCCTTACATCTAAATTTATTTTTATTTTATTAAAAGTATACGAGTGAGATTCAAAATGAAATTGATGGCATTAACCATTTATTAAGGAGCATTCCTTGTAGAAATAATGAATTTTTAGGAGAGTTGGAGTATGAATTTTCTTATACCTACTTGTAAATACATTGATATGATATGTTATGTTCCTTTAAAAAAAATAGAGTTGTCTTTGTGTATCCAATAATGCACATAATAAAGCTAGTTATTATGTGTTTTCATTAAGAGAATAAAAAAATATGCAGTTGTTTTTTGTATAGCTAAAATAATACTGGTGAGCATGTTCAATTAATGAGTGAGTGATGGAGATTTAGAGGAGCTAGAGACTTGTATTGAATTGGATATCCATTCATCATTAATTATTTTACTTTTTCAAGAGACTTGTAGCTTTGAACATGATGAAGTAGAAGAAAAACTCATAAATTTAAGGTTTCAAGACTATATTACTTTTCTAGTATAACTGTAAAACAAAGTTTCATGCATGATTTGATTCTTGCCTTGCAATAAATTTGTTTCTAGTAAGAAAATTCAATATCAATTTTTTTGAAAAACAATTTGAAATCCCATCCAAAAATAAATATGAAATACTTTGATTAAACTTAAATTAAAAAAAAAATCATTAAGGCTATCTAAAAATAATGTTTACTTGTATAAAAAAAATGATAATATCATGTTAAAACAAATTCAGAGCTTAATGATATTTAATTAGATAATCTTTTAAAAAAGAATTTAAGTTATTTTATTTAAACTAATTTTAATAATATAGTTTGAAGAATAAAAGCATTTAAAAGGAAATATAGGAGTCTATGTATGGTGGACCTGCTCCCCACTCAAAAAATAAGAGCAAGAGTATATGGACATGTAAGGTCAAGCTTGCACACTTGAGATATTATTATATTTTTGTTAAGTTGGCTAATGACATATTATTTATTTAATTTATTTTTTAAACAATTAGATGTCACATTATTTTTTATTCAATTATCTATCAAACTTGTTTTTTAAATAACCAGAAGCCACATCATTTTTGATTCAGTTATCAGGCACTTTAGATGATCGAAAAGTAAGGTTTCCACCCTTTAGGATAAAAAAAATCTTATTTTCAATTATTTTTTACTTGAAAATATATAAAATATATTATAGAGATCTGAATAAACTCATTTATAACCTTAAATTAGCCAATAATCATTTAGACATTAAAAATCAACCCTAATAAAAAAAAAAGCTCTTAAACCCAAATTTACCTTCTCTAAAAGATGAATGCCAAAAATATCTTAATAGAATACTTTTCGTTGAATAAAATTTATTAACACAAATATTGATTTTTTTATGGTTAGAATAGGACCAGCTAACACTGTCATTTTTCCTCTCCAACAACTAGTCTCTTCTCTCTCTAACTCATGGAAATGCAAAGAAAAAATAAACCCTTGATTAAAATGCAAAAACCTCATAAAACAAGGATTAAAAATGAAAAAAAAAATAGGGATCAAAAATAAAAAAACACATCTCAACTATCATATTTAAAAGAGAGCTTGGTAATTTTTTGAGGGTAAATTTTTGTCATCAAATTTTTAATTATTTTTTATAAAAAAAATTAGATTTTTTTTACTAAATCCAACATCAATTTAATGCAAGACCATTTTTTTACCGTTGTGAAAAACCATTGTGAAATCAACCAAAATAAATTATCAATCTCAATCCTAATGAAATTAAATCTGTAAAAATAATATTTAAAAAAATAAAAAATAAAAAATAAAAAACAAAACTTTTTTTTTAATCCACAATATTTTGTATGCAGGGAAATAGTATTTTCCCATGCATTTTAGGTTCTTTGTATTGTAATGTAATAATTCATCATTCTTTCACTTGCATCATCAAAATAATTCAACTAAAAATTCAAAATAAGTATCAGTCATCACTGCATATTTCTTAAATTGAATCATTCTATGTCCAATTTGTCAAAAATTGTTAAGAGAAAAAAAAATCAATGAAAAGGGACCAAAGTGTAAAATAAAAAGAAACCCAATGGCCAATGTAAACTTGGGAGGACAAAGTTCTTTTTCATGCTCATACTTTTATTTTCCTACATTTGAAGTCCCTACAATTTTTTTTTTAATTTTAAATTTGATGCAAAAATTCATTTCTTTTACATTTTACTCTCCATAAACAAGAAAGGAGAAAGAAAATTGGATAAGTTATAGTTGTAAATAGATAAAATAATTAGATAACATTGATTTTGCCCAAGAAAATCATTGATCCTGGTTTTATTAAACGAGGGGAATACGATGATAGTTATTTTAGACTTTAATCTTATCTAAAAAAATAAATCAAGATTGGGATAAAAAAATCCATTCTTATTTAATTTTGTTTTTAAAACATTTTGAAAGGCTTTTAGATTGATAAATTAGTTTTAAGATATACTAAAGGTTTTTATTAGTTAAAAATGAATAGAAAAATAAGTTTGTAGATCAAAAAATCAAACTTAATTTTTCAATTACCATGATAATGGCTAGATACGACACTTTGTTTATGTTTTCTTTGAAAAAACTTGTTCATCTCTAATATATATATATATAATAACCTAGGTATTCGGAACTAGGTTGAAGGTCATGCGCTTCGACACATATATATATATATATATATATATATGGAACTAGGTTGAAGGCCATGCGCTTCGACACCAAACCATGCCTAGTTGTTTAGGGTTTAATTTTTTTTAATTTTTTAATTTTTTATATTTTTTAATTTTATTGGTTTTTAATTTTTAATTTTATGTTTTAATTTTTTTAAATAATGTTTTTTGGTGATTCAAGGGAAATTTTGTTAAAAAAAATGATATATAGAAGGAAGTGTGAATATGTAATGACTAAAAAGATTGAAACAATTTTAAAAATTTTATTTCATTACATATTTGAATTTCTAAAAAAGATTTAGTTTTGCTTTTTCTAAAAAAAAGCTATACCAAAATTCACAAATATAAAATCAAATTAACAATTAAATATATATTTAAATTATTAAAATATAATTATTTTAAAAATAATGTTAAAACATATTAATCAGTATATTTACCAACGTATAAGTAAAAGACTAATTGAGGCATCATTTAATTAATCAATATTTCAATATAAAAAAGGGTATTTTTTTTATGTTGTATTAACAATAAAAATGGTCCAAAGAAATCAAAATTATTCTTGAAATAACTCCTACGAATTTAGAAATTATGTGTTTTTTTTTTAAAATTAATGTGTTTGGTGATTTGAGATACATTTTGAGGGGGAAAAAATGATATATAAGAGAAAATATGAATATATACGGACGAAAATTCTTTTTTTTTAATAAAAAGTTTTTATTTCATAAAATATTTGAATTGGCAAACAAGGTTTATTTTTTTATTTTTCTCAAATAGAAAAACCATCTATAACAAAATATACAACCTAATTTATATGTTCAACATAATAAATAATTAAATATATGTTCAAATTGTTAAAATATAATTATTTTTTCAAAAATAATGTTAAAATATATCAATCAATATATTTACCACATAGAATATATGAGCAAAAATAAATTAAGACATATTTTAATTATTTTTGAACTATAATGACCGATTATAAATAGTTTCAAGGAGTTATAAAAATTAAATTATACATAACTCCATATTAATTAAAAAAATAAATCTTTATGCAATTGCTATTTGTATAATTTATTCTACTCCGTAATGAATTATTAATTTCATTTTATTTTCACACGCATGCTATTTGTATAATTTATTCTAATTTGAAACTTTATGCAATTTCTATTTGTATAATATATTCTAATTTGTAATGAATTATTAATTTTATTTTGTAAAAAAACAATAGTTTGACATGGCATGCTCCCCCCCCCCCCCCCCCCCAACTCCTACCTTTAACATTGAATTTTATTGATTTTTAAAAATTTTATTTTCCAATAATTATTTGACATAATATATTTAAATTAAAAGAATTAGTATTGAATCCATTCTATTTTATTGAATCATTCAAAATCTAATTATTTTTATATTTAGTTGACTTGACGTTTAAGTCAATTTAGATTTAAAAAATAAAAAAAATTTAATTCGGTTAAAAACTCGGGTTCATATGTAATATGATTGACCTAGATAAAACTTTAATAAATTTTTTAAGTTTTTTTATTAAAATAATATTAATCTAATAATTTTAAAATTGATTTACTCACCCACCCTGCTATCAGCCTATCAAGGCTTTGTTATTTCAACAATTTTGGAATAGTAACCTTTACCTCCTTCGAAATACAAAATGTCCCTCTTTTTTTTTGTTTTAGTTGTCCCAGAGTTGAATCTTCTGAGCAGCTAACCAGTCATCAACGCCAAAGGTCAAGAGTGTTTGCAACAAAAGAAACAGAGGAGAGGAGACGAGCTTCAGATTCCTTGGATCAAAACCTCTCCATCCATCCCATGAATCTTAACTAACTGAACAACAACGATAACAAGAACCATTACCACAACTGCCAACTCTGCTGCTGCTGCTGCGACTCCTCAAGTTGTCAGATAATCAAAATGGGATTCCAGGAATGATAAAATTCTGATCATCAAACCGTGGATACGTCTCAATCTGACATCTCTTACAGGTAACTAAATCCCCCACTTCCTTCCATTTTATCCTCTCCTCTCTTGGCCTGTATTATCAGTCCTGGTTCATGTTTTTGTTGACTTTTTTTTTTAAAAGAGATGAAATTTCAGTGTGTTTTATGTGCTTTGCATTAATCAAAAGAATTGATTTGACTTGACCGCTGAATGCTACAAAGAATAATCACCAACATTTCTTTTGTTCATAAAAAAATATTGAAATGACAAAAGAATTTACTGGGGGTGGTCCTTTCAATCAACCAGATCCTGCTAAAGGAAATAAAACATATGTTCTATCTGTATGTTTCATTGATTCTGTTTTTCGATTATTGGTCGGTGAAGGAAGTGAAGGCAAATGATTGGATTTATTTATTGATTTGCTTGGCATTTTTGTTAATACAACTCTTTTGAAAAATTAAGGTCTTGGGTTGTTGGGTTTGCATTAGATGATTAGCGAAATAACAAAGTTGATCCGAGAATTGTCTGTCGGTTTTCTAGGCGTAAAACTAAGCTTCTGTTTGAGCTGCAAAGGTAAATATTGTTAATGGTAACAATACAACCATACGGTGGTTCTTTCTTGGTCATGTGGCGTGTGGACCAAGTTGGGGTTTTGTGTTGGGATCTTTGTTTGGGCTAATCCCCAATAAATTGCGTGTTCTTTTGTATAGTTTGAGGAATGTTAGTCAAGAAATGTTGTTTACAGAAGTTGTGCAGTGGTGAATTATCTTGCTCAATTTTCATGTTGTTTGAGGGACTCGCTCAGTTAAATTGCTGTTATAATCCCTTTCATCTCTTTTGTTATTTCATACCCTAAAAGCACAAACCCTCCTTGTCATTCTTCAAGAGCATCAATATTGCTTTAGTAACCGGTCAAGAAGGCTGCAGTTATTCAATTTAGTCATACTTAGCTGTCCTTTTTTTTCCCCTTCACTTGACAATTTTTGGAATACTTACTAATTTCTTTGATTCAATGCTAATGATATCTAGCAGATTCATTTTTAGGGGTTTGATTTGGCATGGCTTTTTCTTTATCCAATAGCTTTTCTACCACCATTCTAGGCCTTGCCCCTCAATGCTGAAATCCCCAGCAGACCTCTTTTCTGACACTCTACATGTCATTCTTAAATTTTTGATAGATAAACTCAGCACCTGGGTTATCAGACATGTCAAGAAACTTGTGACAAAAATATTCCAGCTAAAATGCATTTGAGAGTCATCATTTCTCCGTTGAATTCCTTCACTGTTCAATCTGCTTGGGGTCATAACTTGTTTCTCGTTATTTTTCCAGTCTTGAATTTCCTTTCAGTGGCGCTTCCACTGATCCTCTTCATCATCTCTCTTAGCCATTTGTACTTGCTGATATTCCAGATTGCCAGGACTCATAACTTTTTGTCCACCAATGTTTTTTTTGTATCTCTGCAATCTTTTATCCTTTCAAAGCCTCTAGCCCTGCAAACTTGCTCTCTTAGGTGTTATATCTTCTCTTTTTGTACAAATCCTGTTCTATCCAAAAAGCCAAAATGGTGTAGAATGTTAAAAATCTGAGCCTAATTGCTTGAGATATAAACAGCTTAGAAAATCAGCTTTCTTATCTATCCTAGCCTTGTCCTCCTCTTCATCAGTTTGGTGCTTGTTTATGTAGTGAATATTGTGATTTTATGTTTCTCTTACGGTACATTTATTGATGGTTTTTATCCTTTGCAGCTGTGGGTCTTGTGGATACCCCTTGAATTTAACATCTTCCAATCGAATCACTTCCAACATAGGTTCTGGATATCAGAAATCTATAAAGAAAGGTTATATCTCCTTCCTTTCTGTTGATCTAAGTCGATTCACACAGGTTGATGAGGTAAATTGTCTTCCTGTGTCTTGGGGTCGTTATCATTCAAAAAGTAAACTTCTTTGTCGTAAATGTGGGGTTCACGTAGGCTATGGATATGGAGATTCGCCTGCTCTATGTGGTTTTGACTCTACCAACTCATCAAGCTCAGCTTATAAAAAATTTACCATAAAGATCCGAGCTCTACAGCCTTCAGAAGAGTGCTAACAAAGTCATCATGGAAGAACCTTTTAGTGGTCTTCTTACCCCCATCATGCACCTGCCCGATGATTGCCTGTCTATTGGTTTTCACTTTTCAGTTGCTTGGCTGTAGTTCTGATCTTGAATCATTTGGTTTGACTTGTCAGTACTGATTTAATATTTTGTTCTGATCATGAATCATTTGGTTTAACTTGTCATTACTGGTTTAATATTCAAAATACACACCGTAGGTCCTTACAATTTCGTTGTTCGTTGGCCTTCCCCAATGTTTTCTTCTTTATCTCAGATTAGGCTTGTTACTAGCTCTTTCTAACTTCACTGGCTGCTAACCGGCTTCAGCATTTACTGTATTGTCTTCATCTGGTTGCTCTGAGATGCATGATTCATGCCTAAGCTTTTTGCAATCCTATGCTTTGAAGTTTCTTTCTCTTAACCCGGACTGCCGTTTTAGAATCACTGACAATGGACTTTCACTGGTTGCCGCTAGTTGCTCCTTCCTAGAGGTTATTAGTCTATATCAATCCTAAATTACCGATGCTTGGTTACAACTTTAGCTAATGGTTGTTCAGACTTGAAGCACATCAATCTCTTGCTGCTCACTTGTTTCTGACTCTGGGAGAACTCGTTTTCAATCTTCTGTCAGCTGGAGGCAGCTAACGTATCTCATTGCAGCGGAGTAAATGGTTCTGGGCTTGGGGGGGTTTTCGCCAACTTCAACTCATATAGATGCTGATTCTTGTAAGCTTGAGCCAGAAGGCATTATCGGGATTGTAAGTGGAGGTGGAGGTGGAGTTGAGTATTTGAATGTTTCTTGCATGAAATGGTGTGGAAGTGGGGGCGCAGTGCAGCAATAGCCAATAGGTGCAGGTTTTGCCACTTGGCTTAAAATTCTTAACCTTTGGCTGTGCAGAACTGATGGAGATGAAGTCCACTGCGGCAATAGCAAAGGGATGCCCGTTGCTTGAAGAATGAAATTTGGCTGTGTCATGGAGTCAGGATTGCAGGACGGCAATATATTGGGATCAGTTGCCATAAATTGGAGAAGCTGCATGTCAATCTGTGTGATCTCGGGTTGCAAGCTTTGAGAGAGGGGTGCAAAAGGCTCTGGGTTTTGTACATTGGACGCACTTGGAAATTATCTGCCACCTCTGTAGAGTTGTTTAAATTCCATAGAGGTAAGATAAGTGAATGAGAGATAAAGTTCATGGGAAGATGATAAGCGAGATGGAATCCTCGGGAAGTATCTATCGTGCATGCCAGTTGTTGACAAGGAAGAACTTCCAATATGGCTTCAAAAATTTGTTTTAGCTATGATGGGCTTTTTAACATTGTGATGCTGCAAACATCTTTTAGTTGTAACTAGGATATTGGTCCGCATTATTCCTCTTCTAAATTTAAAAGAAATATATTAAGAGTTGAGAGATTTTTCTTATAATATTAATGAAGTAGTTTGATTTTAAAATCTATCAATTTTGTTTTTTATCTAGCTTGAGTTTTGAATTAAACCATGTACGAGTTGATCCAACATAAATTATTTAATTTAATAAGTTCAAAAACAATTTAGATAATTATTAAAAATATAATATATTATTTTTAAAAAAATTAAGACAACAACTTTTTTATATGAGACAATGCAATATTGAATTTATCTTGATCACCTTATCATTTGGGTTATAGATTTAAGTAGGTTTAATAATTTTGTTGTTTTTTAAAATTATTTTTGTTTAATTTTATAATAACATAAGATATTTTCAAAATCAAGCATTAAACCTAGAAAAATATTTATTTGTGATCATGATAACCTTATAGAAAATTTAAAAAAAATCATAAATTCTATTTCTCAACCAATTCAATATTGAATATAAGTGAAATTCAAAAAATTCAAAAACTTAAAAGACTAGAAACTAGAAAAAAAAAACATAACAGGTTTAATAAGTAAACCCACTGAACTCGTGAATTGGGTAACCTGGGTTAACATGTCAAACCCGTAAGCAAAGTAATGGATTTCATTGAGATTAATAACTTATTTTTTATATAAAAATTTATTATTTATTTAACTATATGATAACAAAAATAAATGATCACAAAATAGAGCATCAACTAATACTGAGACTTTTTTTAAAAACTATGATAACCTTATAGGAAGTAAAATGAAATAAATTATGAAATTTAATTATCAATCAATCCAATATCAAATAATAAAATCAAAAATTAAATTTATAAAAAAAGAAAAAAACTTATATTTGTCATATTTATCAACAAGCCCATGGACTTTCTAATTTTAATAACAAGTTTTTTTTTCTAAAACTATTTTTTTAACTTATGATAAAAATAAAAATAACCAATCACATAGTTGAGTTCAATTAGAAAAAAAAAGTACCCTGTTAAACTCACAAGTTAGGTCATTGACTCCATGAAATTTATTAACCTAGTTCTTTTAAAATTATTTTTTATTTAACTAAATTTTTTTATGTAAAATTTGAGGACTAAATTAAAATTTTTATGTAAACTTTAAAACTATAATCCATTTGTGTTGACTTCTCTGCTCTATCCCTATCTTTCAATTTTATCCTAAATAAAAAAAAATTGATACAATTGTTCTTCAATTTGGGCCAAATAATTGAAAATAAAAATAAAAATCAAACACTATATCTACAGTAAAATGTAAAAACATGAACAATATCGTTTGCACAGAGAAAAGACGACTTTCAGTGAATCAACAAAATATCAATATGTTTATTTTTCATTTCTTGTGACGGTGAGGTATTTTTGTGCTAGTTGTTTCCTAAAAAAGTGCTGTCTAACATGCAGTCCCTGCAGAAATCCTGAAGGAGTACCACAACAATGACCCTTTAAATTTTGTTGTTTACGTAACCTGTACGTGTATTCATGCCTGCTTTTTTATTAGTCGAGGATTCTGTTTAGGTTCTCGTGGTAGTGATCTTTCAGTCGCCATGACATGCTCATCAGGTCATACAAGCTGCCTGTTGAATCGCGGCCATAAGACGGAGAGTTATAACACTGCCCGACAGTTTACAGGGTTGGAGACCTGGACGGTTGGGGATGGCTGCAATGGGGAAACATAATGTACCTATGCGGAGGCTGGAACTGTGGAGCAGTCAACTTGCGAAGTGGGATGCAAATTTATAACAGTAAACGTTTGATCATGTTAAATGGAAGGTTTTGGATTCGTTTATTCCATGCAGAGGGCCTTGCATTTAGACTAGAGGATTCTTGACACAGCCCAGCACCCGAATTTTCCATCCCAGATTGTAAATCCAGGAAAGGAACACTACCGTGTGGAAAGCATTGTTGATCCAAAGAATAGAAAAAAAGAAGACAAGACACGGCAGGACCTGTACCTTTATCTTCCATTGGAAATGGCTGCAATGGGGCAGCATACATTTTCAACTAATAAAATGCATAATGGTAAATGTTTTGACTGATAGAACACTTGTTAAATGCAACCTGTAATGGCAACCCCGAAACTAAAGGAACACAAGGCACTCAACTTCCCCATCTTTACCAAATCTATCTACACAAATGTTTTTCCAGGAATGACTCTGTCCAAGCCAGTACTTCATGAAGGCATCCTCAAGCGTTGAAGCTAATCATCAATATCTTCTGGATCAAAATCTTTAACCTTCACATCTGCATCTTCTCCATACTGAATGCAGTTGTCAATCTGGGACAGTATATACCGAATGCTGCACAATAAAAACAAAATTATCTTAACAATGATGAGGCAGCAGTCAAAAACAAAGTTATTATGGAGAACAAGGTAGAGGTCCAGGTATCTTTGCCAGCAGCAACATGCTAAACCAAGCAAGGTTGCAACTCCAGCATGTTAAGAGCAGTGAAAACTTACAAAAGGTTTTCATATCAGAGACACTACAATTTGCTCCCAAATTACAGAAATCTTAACATCTATCTTGCCCAAAAAATAATAAACATAACATCTGCAACTTCCAGGTAAATCGTATTTTCTGGCATCAATTATTTCATCTGATGATATTTTCTGAAAATGCTAGCCCATTGAATTGACATTTTGCGATGTTATTTTGAAAGTTTTATTGTAACTATATCTTATCATCCCGTGTTCACTTCAGATAGAAAAATCCAACAGCCTTGGCATCAACCATTCAAATGCCACAAATGGAAGAGAGATGAGAGGAGGGAGTACCTGCTCTCCTTCCTCAAGTCAAGAGGCACAAAACTCACCATGCTATATTGATCAACCTTATACCAAGAGAAAAGTAAAAATTAGTAACAATGCAAATCAAGCAGACGAGGCACACAGATATTTATTTAACCTCATGCTAAACAACAACAACTGCAGCCTCCAAGTTATGATATCAAATTTCATTTGTTTGAGACCCAATTTACCATGAGAAAAAAGAAAAAAAGAGACAAGGTCAAAGTAACCCAATGCAAAAACCGCGTCATCTAAAATGAAGCAACTTTCGTTCCTAGAAACTCACCAGATCAATCAAAGCTTTGTTTAGCTTAAAAAACTGAGGTGCCATGCGTTGATTCAATTCAGACAACAAAACTTGACCCTGTGGGTTCAAGTAGCTAAAAAGCAGGGGAAAAACATAGAAAAGATCAGCATATTCAGATTGACATAATAGCACTTTTAACAAAGTCGTGGAGAATTAATTAACTCACTTTCCAATATCCCTTTTGTTGGTTACAAGGTCCATCTTGGAGAGGATATTAACGTGAGGCAATTCAAGTTGTACCATAGCAGAAAGAGAAGCCATACACCCACTTATGAACTTGGTCACATCAGTGATAAACTGATAAAAATATAATTAGAAACTAAGTGAAAGTGTAGTGATTAGTCAAATTTTAAGGTTGGTACTTGTAAAAGAAAGGCAATGAAGGACAACTTTAACATACCTGTGAATCAAGCAAGTATACAACACAAACATTGAAATTTTTACTCTTCAAATGCTCCACAAAGTTTCGGAGCACTGGCACATGTGAAAAAAGTTCTATTTGGCCTATAAAACATTCACGTTTTATAAGAAGTAATCATAAATATTGTTGTCAAGAAAATAAACAAATGATAAAGTATAACAGGCCCCGACCCATTCCCTCTTAAAGCATGTGTTAACAAACCATGAAAAACTCTGGTAATTGGGAAAACTAGAAATATCTAATCAAATATTTGACATGCACCATCTAATTTAGAATCATTCTTGATGATTCCCTTGAAAAGACAGTTCATTTGCTAAATTATCACAGGAAAAAACATCCTGATGGACAATTATACGAGTGTGGGTGTGTGACATCATACTAAAACAGACATGGAAAGATAAGCATGCATACCTGGGCAGTCAAAAACCAGGTAATCATCATCCATGTAATTATCCAACTCGTCAGTCAACCAGTCATCCAGATTGTCTTCCAGTTCTCTAATCATTAGATTAAGGCCCTTCAAATTTGACTCCAAAAATTGAAAGAAGATGGAAAAAAAAAACTGGGTCTTTAAGGAGACCACAGCATGCTAATAGCATAGCCATTTCCAATAATTTGGACCAATGCAGAAGATAGCACATGAAGCAACTACACTAAAATCCATGCCTGTACTCTCAAACTATATGCTGAGAACACATAAACACAATTCCTTAAGCATTTTAACATTAAAGAGTAAAACTTCCCTGTAAACATATGAAGCAGCAAGAGTGTGCAACAAAGGGGAATGAAATAGTTTAATGAATGGAAAAAAGAATAAAAGGAAACTCAAACATTGGACAAAGCAAAAGGATACTCCATGCAGTACATCAGAGCACCATTAGGTCCCAACCCAAGCTCCTCCATAACATCATCCAAACAAATGAGTTCCCTGATATCTGCAAGCAAACAAGACTTAGAGCTAAGAATGTAAAATCAAACATTTTACCTTACTCCAAGACATCATGTAACAGGTTAACTCGACTCACCCATAGCCACGGGATAGTCAAACTGTTCTGCTGCAGGATCTAGGTTCACAATATGTATTGAACGCCCGGCGGTTTCACAGTGTCGGTGCAAACTGGAGCAATATGTTGACTGAATTGAAGCAACAAAAAAGTTCAATTGCACAAACAAGCCAAGGACAAGCAATCACACATGTACACACAAATGAGAAAACCCGAAAGGATTCACAGGAAACAACATGGATTTAGCGGTAACAAACAGCATAAATAAAGAGTTAGAAGTAGTAAATCACCTTGCCACTGCCAGCAGGGCCGATAACAAGCTGCGCGTAGCCCATGGTAACCCTTTTGAAACAGTTAGTGCTGGTAATTCACCAGGAACAGAGAGAAGCAAAGACCCGGAGGGACGAAAGAATGGCAACAGAAATATAGGCAGTAAACCAAACACCAACGGCAAATAACAAATTTAGGACATGAGAGGAATCCATAAACACCAGTGAGAGAGAGTCAACATTAGAAAAACCTGATTCATCAAATATAAAACAAAAGAAAAAAATACAAAAAAAAATCATAATTTATCCATTTAAATCACCAAAAATACAAACAGAGAAAACGGATTATTGAATAAATAAATACTACTAAGGCTCTGAATAATTTTCAAACCTTTGTAATATAATGATAAAGTTACATTGCGGATTTTTCTACGATAAAAACAGTACAGAAAAAAGAAAAAAAGCAAGCATCTTTTCGGTTACTAGGATTTGGGGATCAATCACATACCTGATGAAAGTGGGCGAAGGTGGAAGAAGACAATGCTTGATGGAGTAATAATAGCTAGGATTAGTGTTAGGGTTAGGGAAGGAAGCCAAGACGGATGGACTGATAAAGGAAAGGAAAGTGCTAGGTACTTGGCTTGGTGCTTGTCTGACTTGTTCTTAAAGCCGGAAAGACATTTCAGTCATTTGTTTAGAAGTATGTATTAATATTAAAAATAAAAAAATATTTTAATATATTTTTTAAAAAACGTGGATATAAAATGTTAATATAAAATGTTTTCAAAAAAATTTAAAATTTTGAAAAGTTTTTGATTTTATTTAAGAACATGGTATAAATTATTTTTTATTTGAAATTATTTTTTTATTTTTTAAAATTTATTTTCAATATTAATAGTTTAAAATAATAAAAAATAAAAAATAATTTAAAATAAAAAAATAAAATAAAAAATACATTTAAACCACAGCAATACCTCCTTGCTTTATTAACGCGTCAGTTTCAGGGCTTTGCTTATTAATAAGGTAACAAGAGGCTCTTTACAGTTCACACCTCTGCTGTGAAGCTGTCTGGAACACGATATAAATTATATTTTAAAAAATTTTAATTTTTTTATATTTTAAATTATTCTGACATGTTAATTTTAAAATTAAAAAGATATAATTTTAATATAAAAATATTTTAAAAAATAACTATAATAATATTTTCGAACAGACATCACTAAATATAAAACATTATTAAAAATAAAACAAGATTTAATAAATAATGAACATTACACACAGGTTAATTATAATTTAGCCCTAAAACGAGTTAGTTAAATTCCAAGTGATTTTTATAAAAAAACAATACCTTAAAAAACAAAATTTATCGATAATTACCACAGCTATCTAAAAATTAATTAGACACGCCTCGCAATTCCATCTCTTTATGTTTTTAACCATCATTGATTTAAAAAAAAATAATATCAAAATATTAGGACTTATGAAAAATTCAAGACATAATTAAAAGTTTTATTGAATATATCTTATATAAATTAAGAATATTTAAGTTAATAAAAAGAATACTTAGAAATAGTAATTATTTTTCAAAGTATTTTTTTTAAATATATTAAAAAAATATTTTTTGATATTGATTTAAAAATATATTGAAATATAAAAAAATAAAATATGTTTAAAATACAAAAACAATATAAAAAAATAAAAAGAACATTCGGTGGGAAAAAAATACCAAACCCACAACCTTAACAATCTCCAGGGACGAATTAATTAGAATTGTTAAACCATAAGAACCGAGCAACATGTCACTCAACTACTTCCCCTAATAACCGACAAACCGTTTCCTCCTCTCCTTAATCCTCACACGAGTCACAAAAAAGCAGACAGAGAGAAGAAGAAGAGGAAGATAAACAACCATACCGGAATTCCGTCACCGTCGAAAGATTTCGGTATTTCAAATGGTTCAGTTGTTCTTAAGAGAAGAAGCTAAGAGGAAAGAAGACGTGCGTGAGGAAGATAGTGAAAGTGCAAAGCGAATGATATGGCTTTTGAAGGAACTAGAATCAGTTATTTGGTCACTGATTACTCGATCAGAAGCACGTTTATGGCTTTACAACACTATATCATGCATCACCTCCCTTACTCCTTACCAAAAAAGAGAGCTTTTTGTGAGCTTATTGAGGACGACGAGCAAGAAAGGTTTAGCTTCCCAGCTCTGGCAATTGATTTTTCAGAAGAGACCGCACGAAGCAGGAACACTTTTGGCCGAGAGAAGTTATGTGCTTGAGAAATTCTTTCAAGGCAAGTTTTTTTTTTTACCTCATTTGTTTTCGCTAATTGTGTTTGGCCTTTTTAATTAGGGTTTGATTAGTGAAATTGTTAATTTCGTGAATATTAAAAGGTAATTGATTGATTGATTGTGAATAAATTTTTCTTTTTTCTTTTTTCTTTTATTTGATTTTATTTACTCATGCAGGAAATCAAACCCGTATATTGCAATGGTTTTCCAACTTCTCTAGTACTGGATTAAGGCATAAAAAAGGTGCCAAAGCGCTTTCCCAATTCGCGTTTGTGCATCGAAATATATGTTGGGAGGAACTTGAGTGGAAGGGTAAACATGGGCAATCCCCTGCTGTGGTTGCAACCAAGCCACATTACTTTCTCGAGCTGGATATCCTACGAACGGTGGAAAATTTTCTTGAAAATGTGCCTGACTTTTGGACTTCTAGAGAGTTTGCCGACTCGTTAAGAGATGGTGATATTTTTTTCGTCGAGACGAAATTCTTCGTAGATTTTTTTGTGGGGTTGATGTATGAAGAGGATTCAAGAGATGTATGGGAAGTCATTAATGAGTTTCTTATGGAGGAGTCCTTCTCTGTTTTGTGTCAGCATCTACTTATCACGCTTGAAGAGCAGGAGTTCTGTGCTTTTCTTGAATCGCTTTGTAAATATTTGAATCGGAGAATGGAACCGAATGATTTTGGGGACTCTTCTTGCCTGCTTGAGTTTGTGCTCTCTAAATTCAGTGGTTATGAATCTATTGATCAGTTGCTTCTGTTGAATGCGGTTATTTATCGAGGACGTCAACTTCTAAAGCTTTTGCATGATGAAGAATCCCGGGAGGAACAGGCAAAAATTCATGATATTGTGTCTCATATCTGCTCAATTTCAAGCAGTACTAACAGCTTTGTCCCTATACTGAATGAGTGCCTAAAGATGAAAACCACAGGAGGAATCAAGATCTTGGGGCTGCAGTCATGGGCCTTTCATTATGCATTATCAGAGAAATGCCAGAGTCCAGAGGCCTGGGAATCTTTATTTTCAAATAATGGTATAAGTTTCCGCAAATCTGATAGATTCGAGCTACTGCGTGGTGATGAATTGTTGGAAGAAAATGACTCTGAAATGGATGATAGAGCATCAACTAAAAGAAAGAGCAGGAAGAAAAAGAAAAGTAAAAAGAAAAGGAAAAGGAGCTCCGATGATGACGACAGCTATGACCATGGTCTGCTGGATTCAGACACATCAAATAGTAAACTAGGTTTGCAAGCTAGGGATGGGAGTTGGTTGCTCTCAACAGATGGGTTTTCTGCATCATGGACTAACGTGAGTCGCATTATTCATGCTCTATATGAAACATCTAGATTATTTTACTAGCATGGAATTTTTTTCTCTTGATATTGCGTTCTTGCAAATCTTCATGCTACAAGCGAGGAATGCCTGTCGTGTGATCTTTCATGCTATGATATGATGTGCTGCTGTCCTTTATGACCTTGTTAGCAATACATGTTGCATTAGACATTTCTATATAGCTAAAGCTTGTCAAATCACCTGGCAATAAATCCTGGTGTGGTCTTTTTAAAATTTCAAGTCTGTTCTCTACTTTATCTTTACATTACCTTTGACATAGGTGCTAAGAGATAAGAAACTGTCTTTAATGTGAAAACACATCAAATATTTTCGTTTTTTTTTTTCGAATCTTCTTGAATTGCTCTTACCAGTCATTCTATCTTATCTTCCACATAGCTTTCATATATTAAGATTTCTTCTTAGTTTAGGTGACAAATAAAAGACCAACAGTGTGTTTTACTGACCATCTGGTCATTGTGATTTTCTGCAGGCAGATCTCCCGGAGCACCTCTCAAAGTTTTGCTTTTCCACGTGGATGAAGTGGGCATTTGCTAAGTGGAGGAACGTGGCTTAATTTTGTGCGGCTTAGCTATTAGCTATTTCTCCTAGGGTATTGTGTAGAGGTGCTGGGGAAGGAGGGGAGATGTCTCCTTTCTTTAGGTTTCATCTCTTTGATAGCTGATGATTCACATTCTTTCCAGGAGGTCAAGAATTGACTCGGAGCAAATCCAGATGAATGTCAAGCATTTCTGCTTTTGATGAATAAACTAGGAGATATCATGACTGCATTTGGGCATCTCATTAGGCGTGGACTTGCTGCCAGACTAAGCTATAAGTTTAAAAGTTTGCTAGAGAAACATTCATCTGCCATCAGTAATGCTGCAAGGTTTGAGCCTGAAGCTTTCTTGGCTATTTTAAGCCCTTTATTCGAATGAAAAATCATTATTCAAAGGTACACTTTTGATATTTTAATTGCGCTGCCTTTTCTAGTACCCGAGCTTCAAGGTATAGGACTTGAAAGTTGAAACTGATCGATGCAATATGGATGAATACTGATTGTCGCCACTTGCAGGACTTGCTGATCTGAGTTGCTGTGATCATGTCTTGGAGAAGAGAGTCTTCCCCTTTGATACCCATTTCGGGTTCTCCAAAGTTTTATCAAAACCCAACCTTCTGTCATGCAACAGAATTGCATCTCTTCCGACTACATGCTTTCTAGGGTAACATCACCCCATTATACCAGCAGCATTCAATTTCTTAGCTCGATTGGGCTAATCGTGGCCTGGTCCAATCTCCATCACGTGTATAAGATCAGTTTTTGGAAGCAAGACAAGACAGTAACTTTTTAATTTTATTTTTAATTATTATTAACATGAGCTTACAGGAGTTTCTCTTGCATTTCCTTCCAAATTGACATGCATGCAGTGGTCAATCTAGATGAACCATGGCTCGGAAATTGGGATTGCAGGACTGAAACTTCGACTGCTGATTAATTCGCCAAAAAATAACCCAATTATAACTAATTACTTATTTCTTCTCGTCTGTAAGATGTTTATTATCGCACTATATAACCATTGCTGTAAACTTAAAAGAGATCAAATATAATTATGATTATAAAGTGAAAAAAGTAATTATTCATACTTGCAAATAACAGGTTTAAAAAACACAAACATCACACTCTTGAATGCATCGTTTGATTAAGATAGGAAACATATTTGGAAGAAGGGTTTGAAAGGTGAGTTTATCGGATTTAAAATCGGTCATTTATTTCTCAAAAATAAACTTTTATTTGCGATTCTCTCTATAGATAGGAGGAGAAGTGAACTTGTGTTTCCTCAAGCGGTGGGTTTCGAATAGCCTAAACTTGGACCCATCAACCGGACTTTTGGCTCCTGGAGGAAGCCTTTTTCGCATGGCAAGCAAGCTCGAATGCTCCCAGCTCAAATTTACTGCAAACAAGAAGCCGATCACATCGAGCGTCTTGTAGCAAGCATCATCCACTGACAATATGCAAGAAACTGCGGGTCCCATATGCATGGGGCGGCACCTTGAATATGATTTTCCGGAGCGTGTTTGCAAAGTGTTCTATTTTAAAGTATTTTTTAATAAAAAATATATTAAAATAATACTTTTTATTTTTTAAAAATTAATTTTAATATCATCAAATCAAAATAATACAAAAACACTAAAAATTATTAATTTAAAATAAAAATATAAAAAAATAATTTTTTTTTAAATATAAAAACAACTAGGAAATGAATCAGATTTCAGCATCCCTTTATTTTAATCTACACGTCAGGTACAATAAACAGCAGTTGTTCACAGCTCAAACAATGACACGTAAATCACTTTCACACCAGTTTCTCATGTTGTGGATCACATACAACACGAATGTCGACATATCTCAAAGAGCCTCATCACCTTCATTATCAGGCACCCACGAGACTTCTGTTCCAGCTCCGTCTAGCCCTACAGATAAAGAAACGGACACAAAAGTTGGCCAGAATCTGGTAAAACATTCTTTAGAACAACATTCAGTGATGTAAATGCGAGTCGGATACACACAAATCACACTGTACTTGAATGAATAAAGGTGCGCAGAGAGAAAAGGATAAAAATGAAAATGGAAACGCATTGCCATCCATCTTGTGAAGGTAGACCTAAAATGCGGAACAAAACAAAAGTAGACCAAGAACTAGGCAAATTCCATCATTTATGGGGGCCTGAATACCAACATTAGAAAGATTGGTTGTAATAAGCTTGCATTTCTAGAGCATGCGTTCAGGCACTAACGCACACGAAAATAACGAACCTTATAAAAAGAGCAAGGGGAAAGGTGATTTGTAGAATCTTACAAACTCATTTTTTCCCAACAGAAATGATAAGTCAAAATTCTCTTTAGTTTATCATCCATGTTTCACAGTTTCTGTTCTTAGAGTTCCTTGACCACTGGAATGCTGCTTTAATAATTCCTAATCCACAACTGTCTCATTACAGCAGATGAGAGCTAGAACCAACAATACCACTTTTACCCTTAAACTCAACCCATGGTTTCCCTCTTTTCCTTCCCACTGCCCTGCCGGAAATCTAGTTTCCAGAACATATTTGCTAACAAGACTGCTAAATTGATATGGCACAAGTGATTGACTGAAATTGTGTTCCCACTTTAATAACATATAAAACAGTCTACTACACAAGACAAGTCCTGAAGACCAGAAATGACAATACTACCGACTAAACATCCCACAACTATACCAGAAATCCAAAAAGAGAAGTGCAAGCAAAATGAGGATAAATTCAGAGGCACAGTGATATTAGATACAGAAACTTAAGTCTTGGGAGTGGTCTAGAGCTGTGATTTTTGAGAAACAAAGACGCCAAAATTCCAACTTAAAAAATGAATGACGCTGCCACAAGGACATTGTGTTATATAACTAAAAACACTAGCATTTGTAAAATGGGAATTGATAATGGCACTCCATCAATTCATAACAGCACTTCACTTTAGCTAATATCCAAATACATTTATTTCACAATTTGTGAAGTGCCACTATGAATTGATGGAGTGGCATCATCATCACCCTGGTAAAACTATTGCTATGACACACACCCAGCAAAGAACTTCTAGAAAAAAGAGTTTCTGAAACCTTAGAAAGAAAAGAAAAAAACAAAGGCTATGGGTTTAGTTACAGAAAAAGCGTCAGTGAGAAAAAAAGCAAGAATAAAAATCAATCTCACACCCTTGTCCATCTTGTGGGTCCTACAGGAAACCTATGCCATAAGTCAGTATAATCAGAAAAAAATTCCACCCCCATGTGAACAATCCACAAGTTATTCTCCAACCACCAGTTTTTGGTTATTCAAATCAGCATCGCAGTAAACCAGTGATTAGTTAGAGGCAAGCAAGCTGCTAAAAACTTGTGCCATCATACAACTTGATTGTAATGCAAGGAGATATGGATTGTTATGGTAATAGAATCTATTCTCATGATAGCATAGGAAACTTACCCAATGAAACATATGCTGGCAAGCTAACATACTTCGGACATGAGCTCTTTGAAGTGTACATGTCATTTTGAATTACACAGTCCCGTGGCTGTAAAGGAAAGAGTCAAAACACAAAGCAATTTTCTTCATGAAAAAGGAGGAACAATTTGAAATATAAAATTTTACAACAATGGATATTCTGCAGACACAAAAGCACGTGAATTATGCCAGACTAAGGGGTGAATTATGCCAGACTAAGGGGTGAATTATGCCAGACTAAGGGGCTTCATTTAGAATACTAACTTCATAGTTTCCTCATCTAATCCATCAATAATACATAGGAAAACAGGATAAAAATTTAGGTAATCGGAAGAAATGTTAGGATTAAATTATTGTGACCTTTTGCAGTTTAAAGTCAAAGATAAAGAACAAACAAACAGCAGTGGGCCTCTAACCTCTTTAACATCATCTGTGTACAAAGTTACCACCATAATACCTGTTTGCTTGTTGCTCTACAAACAATAAATACCCTAATGTTCTTCTCTAAACAGTTTAACTAGGACTGAAATGTACACCATGAGAAGCATAAACAACAAAGTCTAACCTTGAAATCCTTATAGAAGCATAAACGAAGTTCCTCCAAATCCCCCTTTGAGCAAACCAGTTGCGGGGTTGCATGGAAAGCATTCTCGATAGCAGATACAATGCCTCCAAGAGGATATTTCTCACTATTTGAAGGAACATATCCTGCTTCATTCAGTACTTTCTGGCATCAAGAATTGAAAAGGATAGTTATTGGTCAATTCAATGAGCAAAATAATTTCAAATACAAATTGTTCCCCAATATATTTTAATTTTCAACACAAAATCATGTATAAGAGCATAAAAAGATGACAGAGAGAAAATGATTGCACCTGACATACAAGATCATAAATTCTGAAACTGAAGACTGACAGTTTATTGAATAGAATTTCAACTACATCATTATTAGTAAATGGAGGCAACACAAGGTGGATTAGTTAGCAAAACAAAACTATAGGAACGTGCACAAATTAGATGCTTATCTAGATGGTATTTATAATCAAGTTAGAGTGTCTAATATTTGACTATGTTACAGGTGTTCAATAAAATTTGATCAAAACCAACACCTGCATAATAATATAATCTTCCATTTATACACACACACACACAGCCACATATAATCTTCCTTTTTATCTATAATATTGTTCAAGATTCTTGTCTATGTTAAAAGTAGCTTACCAGACATTAAAAGTTCATTAATCATCACAAAACTCCTGACCACTTACTGTAACATTATATTTAAAGTAGACATTGAGGGTTGTTGAAAAGTAACTATATTCATCGTGAACAACTGGAGAGGAGCAAGTTCCATGCTTCTCTGCAAGAACAGAGAAAAAGGGTAAGTAGAGAATTTTGCATACAAAACATTTGCAAAATTCATTCCAGAGACATCCATAATTTTATGCCTTCCAGACCCTCCAACCGAAGGTTAATGCCACGGAAAAACTTGTGTGAAAATTCACATTCAATTACTGGTCAACATACTCAATAGGAAGCAAAGCTCACATGCAAAGGCATTCAGCAAATTTTTGTAGTTGATATCTTCTAAAGCCAAATACCATTCAAAATAACGAATGGCATTTTATTTTAATCAGTAGAGAAACAAATAAATACATTAAAGAAATTTGAGAGCATTGAAGATCATCATATCTTTCATCTGTGAGTACAGCATCGCAATCCAATGTCAACTTCCTTTTATTTTTGACAAATACAATCAAATGTCATCCATCATACAATAACAAAATATCATCAATCTTTGTATCAAATGTTCTTATTCGATCCCCAAACATGATACAGAATGTTTTTCCTATGACACATAGCTTCCAGGGGCTGCCACTTCTTGATCTGTGTACCTTGTGGTTTCTCTTACACTTAACTGTCCCAAAGTCAGCAGTTAACAAAAATACCTTAAATTAAAATTTTATGTATTTCACCAAATTAGTCAAAAAGTTGGACATTAGCATTGCACAAGGCCTCTGAATATCTAATACTATATCTTATTATTTGTGATATATGCATAACAGAGAAAGCTTTGCATCCATCATGAGACAGTACTAGGTATCTGAAAGTGTAACACAGCCACCCATCATCTAAAAATGTTAGCTAGAGTTGCATTGGCTATTATTAGGCCCAAGTTATGTAACAAGGATCTCTCAATACACTACCAGGCATTGGATACAGGTCTCCATATTACCACTTCCTTTCTGTTTAAATCTAAAAGACAGTGAACTATGATGCAATCATATCATGTAAGAGAACAAAAGTTGAAGACAGTTACCCCACTGCCAATGTGCATTCCCCCAGTTTCGCCATCACATAGCATGAAAAACAAAGTATTGTCAGTTCAGAATCATAGAAAACAATAATTTAGCCACAAACACAGTCAGCAGTTGAAACCACCTCATGTCCCCAAAAGGATCCTTTTGAACCATGGCAAGATGATGGTGAACCACAACTAAGAGATGGCCAATACTTCTCTAGAGCATCATGCAATGTGGAGATCTGCACGTTACAAAAATAGTTT